GATCAGTTTTTGATCATTAAAAATTATAATTTTGAAACAATATATACATGTTAAGAAATATTAGCAAACAATGAAAAGTCACAATATGAAAAGTTGTAACTTTTTAAAAATAACCATATAGTGGTTATTAGTAAAAGGCAACTTTTGACATACCTAAAATGTTATAAAGCGGTTATGAAAATATATAAAATTTTAAATATAAAAAATACAAAACAGAAAAAAGATTTAGTATTAATTCTTTTCGTGAGTTATGTCTTTTGCTTGATGCATGTGAATCCGAGGAAGTATATCGGGATTATTTCTTAAAAGATCATGTTTTGATTAAATTATTTTATTGTATAATACTTGTAAACGTGAACATGAATTTACATAAGAAAGTTTCATGTATAGAACGTTTCTTCATTTTTGTGACTAAAAATTATAATTTCGAAACAATATATACATGTTATGAAATATTAGCAAACAATAAAGTCACAATATGAAAAGTTGTAACTTTTCAAAAATAACCATATAGTGGTTATAGAAAAAGGCAACTTTTTTTTTTGTTAAAGTAGAAAAAGGCAGCTTTTGACATGCAAACAATAAAAAGTCACAATATGAAAAGTTGTAACTTTTCAAAAATAACCATATAGTGGTTATTAGTAAAAGGCAACTTTTGACATACCTGAAATGTTATAAAGCGGTTATGAAAATATATAAAAATTTAAATATAAAAAATAAAAAACCGAAAAAAGATTTAATATTAATTTTTTTCATGAGTTATGTCTTTTGCTGTATGCATGTGAATCCGAGAAAATATATCGGGATTATTTCTTAAAAGGTCATTTTTTGATTAAATTATTTTATTGTAAAATACTTGTAAACGTGAACATGAATTTATATAAGAACTTCAGTTTGATCAATTGTAAACAACTAATTTATAATGGAATTTGATCGATCGATGATTCACCAAAACAAATGAATAATGACTTTAAAAATATAAAATGGATTACCTATCGGTATAAATTTTATATCTTACCAGGAGAGCACATTATTTTGCAAAATAAATATTGATTTCTTAAAATAAATAACTTCATGGATTGGAATATATTATTGATCAATTTGAAATTGGAATTTATTACATTTAGAAAAATATTATGATTACCTTTACACATATTTAAGAAAGTAACCAATTTGATGTCGTAAATAACATTTACTACTACAAGGTAATAAACACTCACAAGACGATACAATTTTAAATTTAGATCTATAAATCATGTCAGTAAAAAACGTTTTCCCTTCTACTCACATTCCCCGTATTGGAACCATTGCTTTTCGTCTAACAAGTAGAAGAATCTCATAGTTTATACGCCATTTCAATCGATTCATTTGTATTGTAGCATATTTAAATTTTCCAATACATATCAAAAATATAGTTGATAACCAAATCGATTGTGGGTGTTTCTTCATCCTTGAAGTGTATAGCAATGTTAACGCAGCTTCAATATTATGATGTTGACAACCTAAATAAACTGCTTACAAATATAAGGAATCAATGTTTCCGTACAAAATTGATAAATCCAAAAACCCACTACATGACCCACCCATTTCTAAAAAAAACAAATTTGGAAATTTCATTAATCTTTTATATTTAAAATTTGACAAAATATCTGAATTGTCTAACGAAGTCCAAAATTCTTTAAACAAATTTATAATTATTGGAACTTCATCGATCGTAAAAAGATCCAAATTGTTAAATAAATGCAAAATAATAGAATGACGTTTTTGAAAAGATTTAAGTTTTAAGTGAATTGTAGAAACAACAGCCATGACAAAAAAAGGAAGGAAAAAAAGAACGAAACATATATATAAGAAAACAAATTTTTTAACTAACACAACATTTGCAAATAACCATAATACGGTTTTATTTAATAAAACGCAACTTTTGAGAATATGGTTATAATAAAAAGATGCGACTATTCACAAAACGGTTATTTTTAAAAACGTAACTTTTAGGAAGTAACCACCAAACAATTATTATGAAAAGACGCAACTATTGAGAAAAATGACGAAAAGACGCAACCCTACAAAATATAACCACCAAACGGTTATATTTTAAAAACANTTTTAATGAAACAATGCAACTCTTGAATATAACTCTCGAAAAGACGCAACCCTACAAAATAACCGTAATGAAGTTATTTCNAAAATAACTGTGGAAGGTAGAATCACCACAGCTAGATTTNTTAAGGGTTGAAGGAGGATGGAGTCTTCAAGTGCGAAATCACAGAACAAGAGATTGAAGATCGGTTTTTATTGCTGTTCTCGTTAAGCTTTCAAAGTACAATAGTTTTTGTGTAAAGAATTGCGGATCCCCCGTTCTCGGAGGAATTACATTAGTTTTTATAGTCGACTAGGTCGGCAGCTAACCCTCAAGAAATAAGGAAGTCTTCCTTATCCTTTAAAGTCTGCCGCCAACCCGCTCGGCCCATCTCGCCATGTCTTGGGCTTGGCATGTCTTGTCACGTTCCGGGCTTCCTCGTTATGGGCTCTGCTAGTGGACCTCCTTGTCACAACAGCTTTTCATTTCGAACTTGTCTTTCCCGCCGGGCAATGTTCTCGGATTTGACAGGGTTACCGCCGTGGCTTCGCCGTTCTGGTTGCAGTGTCACGCCGCCGCCTTGTCCGGTAAGTCGCCTCGTCGGACATTGGATAACCGGGTCGACTAGTCGTTTCCGACCCAGTTTTCATACTTAGTCATTTTCCAGGTTTGATCTTCCGGGGGTGAACTTCGACCCCCACAATTAGCCCCCCAGCTCGGTAGTATCAAGTATGATGGTACCGAGGTGAGAAGCATTGCAAGAGTAAGATCAAAGTCCGGTCATACCCGCTTCTTAGTGACTATAAGAAAACTGCGTCAACTTAAGCTCAAGTGATTTTGCCAACCGAACTTAAGCTGAACATTGCCCCTCGAAGACCGCGTGACACTGAAGTGTGTTTTGACCTCGACTCGTCGTGTTTTTCTGAAAAAGTTTTTTTTTTTTTTTAAAAGTCTCCACGCCGCCGCGAGTTCTACCCAAGTCTTGACTCAATCTTGTCAAATAGAACCGAGAGGAAGGCACCGCCGAGGCGTTGAGGAACTTTTGTCGAGGTAGAACCGAGGTGGCAGAGTGGAAGCCAGGTTTGATTCCAAATGAAACCGAGGTGGTGAGAAAACCGCCGCCGAGGTGAGACGTGGAACTGCCGCCGAGGTGAACAAGCAGAACCGCGCCGCCGAGGTGTTGAGGAGTGTCGCCCAGGTGAAAGGGCAAGCCGACGTGAAGGATTTGAGACCGTCGTGGTTGGGGAACGAAGCCCAAGTGAGATTCGTTGACGATGAACCGAGGCGAAGAGAGCTACTGACATGGCAAAGGAGACCTCGGCTTCCTCTTTGACATCGCGGCGAAGACATGGAAAAGTTATGCCGAGGTGATCTTGCGAAATTGAAGAGCCAACCTAGGTGAAAGCAACATCGACCTCGGTGTAGGAAGTCTCTTCGTCGTCATCTCGGATTACGGCGCTGAGGTGAAGAAATCACCGTGGTGCCGAGGTGAACCAAAGTGAAGGCTTTGGCCTCGGTCGACGAAGTGGATTTGGAACCGAAGGAGACGAGGCATGTCGGCTTTTCTTTGGTGAGATTCGCGACGAGGTGCGACGAAATCGGTTGTTGGCGACGAGGCGGATGAGTCATTGTGGTGCCGAGGTGTAATTTTGACCCCGCGTCGCCGAGGTTGTCTTTGTCGTCGAGGTCGTCTTTATCGCCGAGGTCGTCTTTGTTGCCGAAGCAAATCTTGTGGTGACGGTCAAGTGAATTGCGGCCAAGGTCAAATTGGTTTGTTTTTTTACGACGAGGCGAGAAATCACTTTGTTTAGGACTTATATTTTTTGCTGGGTTTTTGATAATCACTTTGATTTACGGGGAAGTCACCGTTGTCATACCCGGGACCAAATGAGTATGCTCTAGTGTCAAGACCAACGATTTATTTATTGGGTTTTTAGGTGAACATTCTTGGTGTACGGGCGAGTCGCCATTGACACGCCTGCTCCAAAAATAGACATGCTTTCTCGATGAGACCAACGACGTGTCTGTTGGTTTTTAGATGATCAATTCGGTTTACGGACGAGTTTTCTTTTAACGAGTCCGCTCCATAAATGAACATGTTATCGCGTTGCGACCAACAATTTGGTTGTTGGGTTTAGAATGATCATTTTGGTTTACGGAAATGTTTTCACTAAACTTCTCCGCTCCTATAATGAACATATAGCGATATAACCAGCGATTTGCTTACTGGGTTTAGAATGATCATTTCGGGTTACGCGTGTGTTACTCTTTGAACACACCCGCTCGATAATGGTCATATACCAATTTGTATAGCGCGCTTTGAAATCCTGTTAAGGATGTAATAGTCAGATCTGAAGTATGTGTAAGAGTTCGTTACTGTGGCCAGCAGCAAGGAGAGTGAAATAAGATGTCTGTTTTGTTAAGACTTAGGTAATCCGTATAGGATGTGATTGAGATGCCTGATTAGTGAAGGCTTTAGTAATCCACAAAGGATGTGAGTAGGATGCCTGTTTTGGTAAGGCTTTAGTAATCCGTAAAGGATGTCATTTGAAGATGTTTGTTTTAAAAAATTGCTTTAATTAGATATAGAGTCTATT